TCCCCAGGGTAGGGGCCAGCACCACCTCCCTTGGAAGTTGGTTCCAGCTCCTAGCCGCCCTAACTGTGAAGTAGTTTTTTCGGATGTCCAATCTGTACCTCCTCTCCATCAACTTGTGCCCATTACTCCTTGTTATGCCAGCGGGGGCTAGGGGAAACAGCGTCTCCCCCAAACCCTTCTGGTTCCCCCTAGTGAGTTTATAGACGGTCACCAGGTCCCCCCTCAGCCTTCTCTTGTGGAGGCTGAATAGGTTCAAGTCCCGCAGTCTCTCACTGTAGGGTCTGCCCTGTTGTCCCCGGATCATGCGGGTGGCCCTCCTCTGGACCCTCTCCATGTTGTCCACATCCCTCCTGAAATGGGGCGCACAGAACTGGACACAATACTCCAGCTGCGGCCTGACCAGCGTCGCATAGAGGGGGAGGATCACCTCCCTGGCTCTACTCGAGATGCACCTGTGGATGCACGACAAGGTCCGGTTAGCCCTGCCAACCATGACCTCGCATTGTCGGCCCATGTTCATCTTGGAGTCAATAATGACACCAAGATCCCTTTCCGCCTCCGTGCTCTCAAGTAGGGAGCTCCCCATCGTATAAGTGTGCTGCTGGTTCCTACTACCCAAGTGCAGCACCCTGCACTTGTCCGTATTGAAACACATCCTGTTCCTGTTTGCCCACCCCTGTAACCTATCCAGATCCTTCTGCAATCTCTCTCTCCCTGCTAGCGTGCTCACCTCCCCCCAAATTTTGGTGTCATCAGCGAATTTAAACAGGTTGCTTTCCACCCCAACATCAAGATCGCTGATGAAGAAATTGAACAGCGCAGGCCCCAGGACTGAGCCCTGGGGGACTCCACTACCCACCTCCCCCCAAGTCGAATATGATCCATCCACCACCACCCTCTGAGTGCGACCCTTCAGCCAATCTGCAATCCATCTGACCGTGTAGGCGTCTATGCCACAGTCGCCTAGTTTATTAATTAGGATGGGGTGAGAGACGGTGTCAATCATTAAGCATGTTGGCGTTTTCCTGGGTGTTGGTTGCCAGCTGTCCTGTTTGGTTTAGCAGGGGGGTCCAATGATGCCCTTGGTTTTTTTTCGACTGTCCACGTATCTGAAGGACTTTTTATTGTCTTTGATTCATATAACCAGATGGAGTTCAGTTACAGCCTTGGCTTTCCTAGTTTGTTCCCTACAGGTGCGGACCAGTGCCAAATACTCTTCCTTAGTGGCGTTTCCTGTCTTCCATCCTTTATAAGCTTCTCTTTTTAGACATAGGAGGTGCATGAATTCCCTGTTGAGCCAAAGGGGTTGCTGAGCCCTTTTACTACCTTTCTTATGGGCTGGAATGGACTTGCCTTGTGCTTTTAGGATCGCTTCCTTAAGGAGCGACCACTCATCTTCAACTCCATTCCCTGTCAAATCATGGCCTCTCAGGACTGCAACAAGAAGCCTCCTGAGCTTATGAAAGTCAGCTTCCCTAAAGTCAAGGTCTTCTGCATTGCTGACTGACTTGCCAGCTTTGCGATGGACAGTGAAAGTGATCAACTTGTGGTTACTGTCTCCCAGCTTCCCTTCGATTCTTAGGTCACTCACTAGATTATCCCCTTTAGCCAGTACCAGGTCCAGCAGCGCCTTACCTCTTTGTTGACCCGTAAACTTCTTAAGACTGGTAAGAGCTCATCTACGCATGTGAGGAAGCTTTGTGACTGATCGGATTTGGCCGAGTGCTCTTCCTATGAGATGTCCAGGTAGTCGAAGTCTCCCACGATGACCATGCACCAAAAGTGTGCAGCCTCGGCCAGCTTCCTGGCAAATTCATGGTCCAGCTCGTTACTGATTTGGAGGTCTGTAGTAGACTCCTACCATTGTGTCCCCTTCACCATGTTCCCCTCGTATTCTAACCCAGAGGGTCTCCAGTCTATGATCAATGTCTATGACCAATCAAAACCATGGGCAATTGGGGCCCCTCAAGTCTGGGGGGGCATTGGGTCAGCAATTTGGGGGGGAGGGGGAGCAGCAGCCAATCCATGACCCAGGGCAGTGGGGTCCCTCAGCAGCGCAGGGGATGCACTTCTGCTGGTTTCGCAGCACAGCTGGCACTTCCAGGGGGTGCGCAGCCAGTCTCGGGGGTGCACGTGCATTCGCGCGCACCCCCTACCCGTCGCCAATGATCAAAACTATGTGAATGCCCACACTTACAAGTTAAAGGGGTCCGCACCTCCATTCAAAATTTCCAAATGGGTCTGCAAATGAAAAAAGGTTGAAAACCACTGCTCTAGGCGCTACTGGCACACACATAATATGTGAGAAAATTGAGGGCAGTGCACAGGGGATGCAAAAAAGCCCCTCACTCCCCAAAGACCTCCAGTTTGGCTGCAGGCAGGCCCTGGGGCTTGTGGCTGCTGCTACGGAGAACCGCGAGAGCCGTTTGGGCACCAGGGAGCTTGCCGGAGGGGTCCGGCCTTGAGGGGACGCGGGGCTCAGGCACGGCTGCTGCTTGGCTCCTCTGTCCTGCCCGCTCGCCGGGGACTGCGCTCCCGGGCCCCGCC